TTATAGATATGTTTGTAACAGGACAAACATGTTGCTAATACAGTGTGTTTATTTTGTAATTATAGATATGTTTGTAACAGGACAAACAAGTTGCTAATACAGTGTGTTTATTTTGTAATTATAGATATGTTTGTAACAGGACAAACAAGTTGCTAATACAGTGTGTTTATTTTGTAATTATAGATATGTTTGTAACAGGACAAACATGTTGCTAATACAGTGTGTTTATTTTGTAATTATAGATATGTTTGTAACAGGACAAACATGTTGCTAATACAGTGTGTTTATTTTGTAATTATAGATATGTTTGTAACAGGACAAACATGTTGCTAATACAGTGTGTTTATTTTGTAATTATAGATATGTTTGTAACAGGACAAACATGTTGCTAATACAGTGTGTTTATTTTGTAATTATAGATATGTTTGTAACAGGACAAACATGTTGCTAATACAGTGTGTTTATTTTGTAATTATAGATATGTTTGTAACAGGACAAACAAGTTGCTAATACAGTGTGTTTATTTTGTAATTATAGATATGTTTGTAACAGGACAAACATGTTGCTAATACAGTGTGTTTATTTTGTAATTATAGATATGTTTGTAACAGGACAAACATGTTGCTAATACAGTGTGTTTATTTTGTAATTATAGATATGTTTGTAACAGGACAAACATGTTGCTAATACAGATTAATAACTGAATATTAGGTAGAAAGTCAATGACAAATCTTATTGTATAAATTGCAGTCGGAATTACTATGATCAAAATTACTGCTGAACTGCATTGACAAACAAAACATAAAAAACAAATGCACAAATAAAATGTTCACACAATTCTGAAAAACAATGTCATTGTATCATGACATAATTATTTTGAGATAATTCTGAAGTACATGTAAACGGCTTGATAAGAGTTATTCCAGTAAAACATTCATTCCACCCAAGAACACCAGGTTTTGTTTCAGGATACCACAGCCAGGACTTAATTAAGGAGTGATAGAAAAGAATTAAAACTGTTGATAGAAGAGATTTTTCTACCCGAGATTAAGTTTGTGCTTTACTGGAATAACCCTCATTAGGTTGTTTTATCAAAGATATTTCATTTAAAGTAATTTTGGAGCAATAGGCTAGACGACATAATCCTTTCACATCAATTTTGATCAATATTCAAGCAAAATTATTCATTTAAGAATATGCCATGGAAAGAAACAACTCTTAATCAAGAACAAGATTTCCTCAGAACTGTATGTGTCGCCTGCATAAAGTGTCATGGTCGCCCAGAACTGTATGTGTTGCCTGCATAAAGTGTCATGGTCGCCCAGAACTGTATGTGTTGCCTGCATAAAGTGTCACGGTCGCCCAGAACTGTATGTGTTGCCTGCATAAAGTGTCATGGTCGCCCAGAACTGTATGTGTCGCCTGCATAAAGTGTCACGGTCGCCGAGAACTGGATGTGTCGCCTGCATAAAGTGTCATGGTCACACAGAACTGTATGTGTCGCCTGCATAAAGTGTCATGGTCACACAGAACTGTATGTGTTGCCTGCATGAAGTGTCACGGTCGCCGAGAACTGGATGTGTCGCCTGCATAAAGTGTCATGGTCACACAGAACTGTATGTGTCGCCTGCATAAAGTGTCATGGTCACACAGAACTGTATGTGTTGCCTGCATAAAGTGTCATGGTCACACAGAACTGTATGTGTTGCCTGCATAAAGTGTCATAGTCACACAGAACTGTATGTGTCGCCTGCATAAAGTGTCACGGTCACACAGAACTGTATGTGTCGCCTGCATAAAGTGTCACGGTCGCCCAGAACTGTATGTGTCACCTGCATAAAGTGTCACGGTCGCCCAGAACTGTATGTGTCGCCTGCATAAAGTGTCACGGTCGCCCAGAACTGTATGTGTCGCCTGCATAAAGTGTCACGGTCGCCCAGAACTGTATGTGTCGCCTGCATAAAGTGTCATGGTCACACACAACTGTATGTGTCGCCTGTATAAAGTGTCACGGTCGCCGAGAACTGGATGTGTCGCCTGCATAAAGTGTCACGGTCGCCCAGAACTGTATGTGTCGCCTGCATAAAGTGTCACGGTTGCCCAGAACTGTATGTGTCGCCTGCATAAAGTGTCGCCTGCATAAAGTATCACGGTCGCCCAGAACTGTATGTGTCGCCTGCATAAAGTGTCACGGTCGCCCAGAACTGTATGTGTCGCCTGCATAAAGTGTCACGGTTGCCCAGAACTGTATGTGTCGCCTGCATAAAGTGTCGCCTGCATAAAGTATCACGGTCGCCCAGAACTGTATGTGTCGCCTGCATAAAGTGTCACGGTCGCCCAGAACTGTATGTGTCGCCTGCATAAAGTGTCACGGTCGCCCAGAACTGTATGTGTCGCCTGCATAAAGTGTCATGGTCGCCCAGAACTGTATGTGTCGCCTGCATAAAGTGTCACGGTCGCCGGGAACTGGATGTGTCGCCTGCATAAAGTGTCACGGTCGCCCAGAACTGGATGTGTTGCCTGCATAAAGTGTCATGGTCGCCCAGAACTGTATGTGTCGCCTGCATAAAGTGTCACGGTCACCCAGAACTCAGAACTGTATGTGTCGCCTGCATAAAGTGTCACGGTCGCCCAGAACTGTATGTGTCGCCTGCATAAAGTGTCACGGTCGCCCAGAACTGTATGTGTCGCCTGCATAAAGTGTCACGGTCGCCCAGAACTGGATGTGTCGCCTGCATAAAGTGTCACGGTCGCCCAGAACTGTATGTGTCGCCTGCATAAAGTGTCATGGTCGCCCAGAACTGTATGTGTCGCCTGCATAAAGTGTCATGGTCAACCAGAACCAAATTTCATTTCTATAACTCAAAGCATACAGCGCAAAGCAATATTCCTGAGAAATTTTCAAAGTTCAAAGGGACATATCACTGCCACAAAGGGTTAACAACTGCCAAGAAGTTAACTTGGTACGTAACTTTTGACCAAGAGCTCATATACAAAATTGCATTCTGATAATTCAAAGCATAACAATGAAAAATCCTGAAAACAATATTCCCAAAGAATTTGAGTTCAAAGGGGCATAACTCTATCAGGATGAGTCACAGAGAGCTGGGAATTAAACTCGATCTCTAATTTTCCACCAAGAAGCCATATACAACATTTTTTTATGTTAACTCGGATCACAATAGGGAAATATCTGGAAAACAATTTTCCCAAAGAACTTTTTGCGTTCAAAGGTGCATAACTCTGTCAAACAGCTGGAATCTTAGAGAGTCGTGAATCAAACTTCATCTGTTCATTTCAATAACTCGAAGCATAATACAATTACTATTTAATTAATTATTTATTCATTATTACCAGACAAACAAGGCAGGAAATCTCAGTTAGGTGAGAGATATCCATATTGGCTTGTGGTGACTATAGTGGGACTCTAGCATTCCATAGGCACACATATTCTTGAAAAATTTTCCAAGTTCAACAGGGCATAACTCTGCCAAGAAAGCCATGAATCGAACCTTATCTGTAATGTTTGACCATGAAGCCATTTCTCAAATTTCATTTCAAAAACTCTAAGCATAATAAAAAAAGTACAAAAAAAAAACACAACATATTCTTGAAACTTCGAAGAGCCATAACTGTGCAAAGAAGGGTCACAGACAGCCAAGAATCAAAGTAATGTGTACCCTTCCAAAACTAAGTCACATACCAAATTTCATTTAAATAACTCAAAGGATAACCCAAACGAGTCCGGAAAACAATATTCCCAGGGAATTTCCTAAGTTCAAAGGGGCACAACTCTGCCAAGAAGTGTCACAGACAGACGGAAATCAAACTTAATCTGTACCCTTCCAACAAGAAGCCATATACTAAATTTCATTTTGATAACTTAAAAATTAAGTGAAAAAAGTTCGGAAAAATTTCGTATGGATGACGCATGACAACGGACAAAGTGATCCCTAAATGTCCGCCAGCTCTGCAGGCCACACAAAAATTTAAATAGATAATTAATAAAATTTATTTTAAAAGTATCTTATGATAAAGAAAAAATGTCTGTAACCCTTTTTCTGAATTTTCATTTAATCAATTATGTAATCATTAAAACATTAACATAGAATTAATTGCAAAATTGGAAAACCTTATATGAGACTTGTCAAGCACCATTTAAATCTCTTTTCAATCTTTATCAAAATGTCAGATGCATAATAAACACAATTGTCTTGGTTTGACTTCATTTTGATGTCTACCAGAGCTGTGTTTGGACACAACAAAAGCTGAAGTGATAAGTACAGAAATAATTAAATTCCAGAGAAATTAAATTGAAATTTTTTAATAAATCTACTTATAATACTTTTAACACTTAGTGGCCATTCGTGAACCGAGAACCTACAATATCAACCACAACAAATTCATCCACTATAATTAATGACTTCACAGTAATCAAGATCACTAGGTTTCATTCATTTATGAGTTCACAGATGAAATATTACAAAGCCATATTTACAAATAGAATTTGGTCTTTTTTAAAATTACATGATTAATAAAATATGCATAACTATGAAGAAACTTTAAACATGGACCAAATAAAAATATATCAGAATGATTGATAATGTTTCTCCATTACAACACACTATATCATTGTACTAAGACTTCATCCTCTATATACAAAGCAATACAAATGTATTGTGTGATAAACACGTGAAGTAATTCTTAGTTGTGTTAATCATTTAAATCAATATCTTGGAAGAATTGAATTTAAAAATTGATGAAAATTCTCCATTCCTCCACCCTTCCCCTCATAATTTTTTTAAAAGGTTTTTGTTAAACACCTCACTTTGAATTTATTTCCCACATAATGCATATGGAAGATGTTTTGGGTAAATCTCACAGAGGAAAAAAGAGCTCATAACATAGAGAGTAATGAAGAGATTCATGGAAATTCTAAAACACTATGATAAATGTATACTAAAACTTAGAATTAGGCTGTCCAACTGGAAAAGATGAATGTGTCGATCAGCTGCCAATGAATATTCAGTTGAAAACAATCAGTGTCGGTTTCCTGTAATTACATCAGAGGAAATCTCATGAGATTTTATACAGATTGAAACTCCAGTAGTGCTGTTGGGTAAACACTGCTATTTACCTACAAACAGATCATTTCAAAACAAGGACACATCATGAAACTGATCCATATATCAACCTTACATGTATGTATTTTCTTAATTTACAGTATTTTATTCACAGTGAGAACATTTAAAGTAATATATATATTTTACAGATATACATGATGATTTTTACAGGTGTTCCACAAGTGTTCCTTACCGTCACGGAGTGGTGATGATGGAGGTACCAAGTTTTCCTTGGAGTGAGAGAATGCTTTGGATGTATCAAACCTTTTCTTGCCCTCTGCAACTTTCTTCTTGTCCTCTAGTTTGCCTATTGTTCTTTTGTGTTTGTTGCATTGTTCACGTAGAGCAGACACTTCCTGTTTAAGAGACAATGTGTCAATTAACAGTTGTCATTCTCAAATCCTGTGCTCTAGTTTACATTAAAACTTTTTAGACCAATATAGAACTAAGAAATAATAAAAGGTACAATTTACCAGTTATCTGGATCTCTGTTCTTAATGGTGAGCAAAGTTGCAATGACATTTACAATCAATTTAATTGACACAACTTTGTAGGCTAACATCAAAGCATACCATGTCATGTTTACTTACAACACTGTGCTACCGGTATTTATGACTATAAATGACCTAGAAACCAGCTTATTTTTAACATATCCTACACATTTTGCTACATTATGCAGATTTTAAATACCCTCAAACTAAACTGACTTATTCATACACCAGTGACTGTTACATTTGTCTCTGTTACTATGACTACAGTTGTGATATAGAAATTCTTTTCAATTGCACTTAATTTTACAAATAGTTAAACATTTTTGAAAATCACATTTTTCATTTGCCAGAAACCTGGAGAGTTTAATCATCTAGCTGTTATACAACTGGTAAGATTTTTCTCATGTATTTTTATGAATGATTTCAGACACAGTGCTTTGATTAATCACAAAATGGTTTGTTTGACTTGGATAACCTCAACTGAATAATCCAAGCTCCGATAATGTATAAAGAACAATGCTGATACATTTAAATCTATAAAGACCGACTCTGATGCCTTAAAATCTATCAAGATCAATGCTTATGTTATTAAAATCTATACAGACAGACGCTAATGTTTTAAAATTTATATAGACAGGTGTTAATACTTTAAAATCTATAAAGACAGGCGCTAATGCGTTTAAATCTGTAAAGGCCGATGCGAATGCATTAAAATCTATAACAACCCACTCTGATGCCTTAAAATCTATCAAGATTGACGCTTATGCTATTGAAATCTATACAGACAGGCACTTATGCCTTATGTTTTTAAATCTATAATGATCAGTGTTAAAGCTTTTATCTTTACTGAAATGAAAAACATACATATTTTCTGACAAAATCAGTAACAATTGTGATATCTAACCTTCTTTAAAGAGTTGTTCTCCTCTTTGATTTTGATGATATGATGAATTTTCTGTTTCTGGTTCTGGTGGCCCAGTAGTTTAGCATATTCTTTGCTCAGTTTATCAACCTCTGCCTGGGCGTTCTTACTTCGACCTGTTTCATGAGTAGATAATAATTTCTATAAAAATAATAATAACTTCTAAAACAATAAAAATTTCTTAAAAATAATAATAATTTCTAAAACAATAATTATGATTTTTTTAAAAATCATAATATTTTTTATACAAAGGCAGTTTCTGAGAGTCATGATCTTTAGTTTCACTGACAACACCCGCCATGTAAATCCTTATCAGTCCAAGTTTGTGACAACATGTTCTCAAATGAGAACAAGGCTAACAAAACTTAAAAAAAAAAATAAAAAAACTTCAAGTCATAGCTGACACTGCATCCAGCACATAAAGTTATATGTTTAAAGTTGAATATTTTTCACACAGCCAGGTAAGCTGTGATTGGCTGTATTTATTTAGTCAAACTTGTGTATAGAAGCCACTCAAGAGAGCAGAGAAAAGTGGCCTTTATACACAGGTGGTCTCTATGTAGAGGTATTATGGTATGCATTATATAGGAAACCAATAAGGCCATTTAATACAGGTGGCCTTTTTTCTCAGAATTATTCATGGTATCACAGAAACTTGATGTTACTTTAAGAAGTTGAGAGAAGTTTTCTCAACAAACTTTAACAAGTTCCATTGCAAGATATTGTCTTGATATTAGATACATGAAACCATACCCATCAGAGCCTGCTTTTCCAACTCAAATGCATCCAACTGCTCCATGAATGGCTCTACCTTAGCCTGGAGGTCTTCATACAGTTTCCTCCATCTGTTGTAAAAAAACATTGTAAATACTACACTGTCTTGTATATACCTGAGAAGTTTATTTATTGATTGTGTACAACCCCCAATCAATGGGCTTACATATAACTGTAATATCAGAAATTTCTGTGGGACTCAAATTTCAATGTTTTACAAAGATATACCTTTTCATTGGCACTTGATTTTGTGGATGAATTATGCTCACCAATCCACCAGTGCTATAACACATGACAATTTTTATCTGTGTATCATTGCATGAATATACAACACAAATTCAACAAAAATGAATCCCCAAAAAATAATGATTTCTTCATATTAAAAATACTTTCATGTCTAGCAATTTAGTTAACTTGCTGATTTGAATTAGTTGTTAAAAAGAGAACTGTTGAGTAATAATTGTAACAGAGGTCATTATTTATTTCAATTCCTCCACTAAGAATCAAATTTGGGACTCCTGGCTTAATAGTCTGACACTCAACCGATTGAGCTAAACAGAAGTTCTCTCTAGCTGAGTGGTATATTGTAGCTAGTATTTTACCCGGATTACATACTCACCCTCCAGGAAATAACTCGTCATTGAGTTTCCAGGGGATACAGCAATGCTGGTTGGGCATAGCTAAGTACTATTCCTAGGTCCCTAGGCGGGCGACAATGTAATAGACGTCATTATTTCAATGCCTCTGCTAGAAATTGAACCTGGGACCCCTGGCTTACTAGTCTGACGCTCAACCAATCGAGCTAAAGAGAAGTCCTCTCTAGCCAAGTGGTATATTGCAGCTAGTATTTTACCAGGGTTACGTAATGACAATAAAAAAAGCTTGAAACCTCCACCCAATTGGACTGGATAATTTGAAGGACCATAATCTGAATATACTCACTTCTCCATCTCCTGTAATGTCTGCTGCAGTTCCTCTTTGTTGGCTCCCTCTGCAAGCTGCTCCTGTAACTCAACAATATGCTCCTTGTTTGTCTTTTCTTGGTTCTCTATACAGGACAGGTAGCTGAAAACAATGTTAGATCTTACATAGAAGATTTTTGGGATGAGGTATGTGGAATACATATAGTGGTGGTGCTAATCTGAATAAGGAAATTTGAAATATTCCACCTACTTTTTTCATACAAACTGAAGATCACTTCACTGTAAACATGAGTGAAGGAAATAGATTTTCTCAAGGAAAAAAAACAAGTTCAGTGTTTATATGCATCACATTACAATTTTCGTTTTATATATAATTGGCATACTTTGCGAGAATATTTTGGATCCCCACTTCTAAATCCAGCATTGCAGGCTTAATCAAGTCAATGATGTACACCAATATTTGTGTGTACATTTCAGTAGTATCCTCAAAACAAGGACACAATATAGGCCTTATTTCATATAATCCATTTTTTGTTTTCATAACATTTCATGTTCAAACTGCAGTATATGCTATATAATAAAACAGCTTTCTTCTGAATTCCTAAAGTTTTTGTGATTTCAACTAGATCCAAAATAAGGTATCATGCAAAAAATGTATGTTACTTCATATTTCATATAATTAAGGCACTGATCAGAGCAAGTTTTGAAACATACACAGGAAAGTTAATAATTACAATTTAAGTTACTAGTGCAAAAGGTAGGCCACTTGTCATGATGATAAGATAAATTCCTCTTTTGTCTGGCCACAATTAACATAACGTTTCCTACTCAACAGTGATTAAAAGAAAATACCTTTTCAGATGAGTGACTTCTTCCATCTTTGCCTGGAACTCAATTTGACTAGATTTTAACTGTTCCTCCAGAGACAACGCTTTCGCCGAGAAATCCTTGACTTTAGCTTCTTTGTCAGAAATTTGTCCTTTAAGACTGGCAACAGTTTCATTCTGTGAATCATATTCTGACTGTAGATGCATAAGTTTATCTGCTAATAAATTTACCTGCTTACAAAACGATTCCTTCTCAATCTCCACCGTTGATAACTTAGATGAAAGTCCAGAAATTTGCTCTGACAGAGCCCCTTTTTCTGCTTGTACAGAAGTAACTTCCTCACAAAGCAATGATTTCTCTTTTGTATTGTCTTCATTTAGAACTTGACTCGATTTGAGATCTTTTTCTAAAACAGTCACCTTGTCCTTCAGTCCACAGACCTGACGAGTCAAGCTATCATTGTGGTCCTCACTACAATCCAGCTGTCCTTTCATTTCAGTTAACTGTGTATTTAATTCATCAACATTGCTAATAAGCTGTTGATTTTTAGTTTGACTGGACTCTAGTTTATCCTCCACCTCTGCTACTTGACCTGTTAACCCTGTCACCTGATTACTTAGGAAGACATTCACAGATTTTGCAGAGTCAATTTCTTCCTCCAGATCAATTATTTTCTTCCCCAGATCCAACACTTTTTCCGCCAAATTATCTTTTTCAGATTGACTGATTGTCAGGTCATTAGTCAGTTTGGCAACTTGTTTTGTTAAGTATTCCCCTTTCTCTAATGCTGAGGATCGCTCAGTTGCAGTAGATGTGAATTCCGCTTTCAATTCACTATGATGTTTCTCAATATCTGCTAGCTGACTCTCCAACCTACAAATACAAAGCAGTAAAATCAGTACTTATTTTACATAATGTATCTGAATATACAGTGCTATCAAACTCTTAAGAAAAATTAGTAAATTTGGTCCATTTTTGGCCCATCCCTCAGGCCCCTGAGAGGCAAAAACCATGTAATTATGCATTTAGGTTCACCTTCAGAAGTTTTCTGAAAAATTTTATTAAAATTGATTCAGGATTTTTTGTGCAAATGTCAATTATTTCCAGCCACACAACACTGAACACAATCACAAAAAGGTCTCCTGATTTGAGGAAATCTAATGATAACCTGCAGTGGTGACTCCAAGAACAGAAGATTTTCTTTATTGTTGAATTTGTTAAAGAAATTTTCCAGCAATGACTTAATATTTATGATAATTAAATATTCATAAATGTTACAATGTAGACTTAATATTTATAATTGAACATTGATAAATGTTATGGTGTAGACATAATTTTTATGATAACTAAACATTTAAAAATGTTACAGTAAGTAAGCTTTAATATACATGTAAAAAAATACGAATACATGCAGTATTTTCTCTTATTTGTCATGAATGTAATAAATTCTGGAGTGTTTTTCTCTGACTGCATCAGTCATAAATTTATCAAATTTCACAACATTTTTATCCCATGGCTCTGAAAAATTACACTGTATATTTTGACAGCTCTTGACTTCAAAGTGTGGAGGAGAAAATCAAAATCAATGGATTCATATATTCATGAACTGTTTATTGATTTAAAGTAGATTTATTGAGCTATATTTATCTGCAAAATTCAGTGTCCATAAAATTGCATTTTTTTGGAAACCCCCCCCCCTCCCAAAAAAAAACCCCACAAAATTTGAGCCTCATGATATATCATGAAATCCAATAACAATATAAGTTATAAAAGCTTTAACAATTTTAAAAACAAACCTTTGTTTCTCATCATTCAATCCTTCAATGTATTGGCTGTGTTTCTCTTCTTTTTCCAAAACGTCACATTTCAACTGCTCCGAGGATTTTTGCAAGTAGTCTATTTCACTCATCAGATTATTGTTTTCACTCTGCAGACTTTTACAGTTGGTTTGTGTAGCCTGGAGGTCATTTTGTAGACTGTCTCTACTCTCAGTAAGATGAAGCACATCATCTGACAACTTTTGAGTGATCTCCTCAACCGTTTTTTTCTGCAATTCAAGCTCTCCTTTAATTTCCTCAACATATTCGCTGAGTCCTGTTCGCTGAGCTATTGTCTGTGTCAGTTTTTGTTCTAGGATCTGCTTTTCCTCTGTAATGGCCTGGAGGTCATTAGTGAGACGCTGCAGGTCATGTGACCATTTAGCCTCCTTCTGAGCAGCAGTAACTGTCATATGCTCCTTAGTTTGCTTGAGTTCCTCTGCGACTGTATCTCTGTCGAGTGCTACCAGTTCTAACTGCTGCAATAACTCAGATTTTTCCTGACAAAGATTCTCAATCTTGGCTTTCACGTCCCCAATCTTCTCAATCTGTTTGTTTATAATCTTTTTGTAGTCAGCCTCACTCTCAGCCTTCTTTATTTCTGCAGACTCTTTATCTTTAGATATAACAGCAACTTTATCATCTAAAGCCGAGATTTCGTCTACCTGTTCAATGACTCGTCTCTCGAGTTCGTCCTTTTCTGTTCTTACCCTTTAATAGAATAATGACTTTTATGTAACAATCATTTCCAAACCGTGACTTATTATAATATTTAGGAAGATGATATTTGGTAGAAAAGTCTGGGAATATGTAAAATCAATGATTGTGAATGATGCACATCTATGGAACTCATGGCAAGATGCTTTAATCTTAGATTCAGATTGTTTGTAACTACTTTCCAAATATTGAGTCATAAATTAAATCAAAAGATTATAAATGTAAAGTTTTAACTTTCATAGCCCAAAAATAAAATTAGAAAATAATCAAAACTGAGAAACGAAATATTTTCACTTAAAAGAGCTATTTGATCATAATGACAACAAACCTTCATTACAAATTAATTCCTATATCAGGTCTGCCTTTATGTGCTAATTCTAAATTTTCTGTATAATTTTTTTCAGAAAAAATTACACAAAATGCAAATGCCAATAAAACAGTATTAGTTCAAGACTTACAATCTTTCCCTTTCATTTTACCTGTCCACTGTGTCCATCAGATCTTTGAGTTCTTTTTCCTTGGTATGTTTCAACCCATTAACAGTGCATTCAAACTCTTCCTTTAAATTGCTGACTTGTACAGTTAACCTTTCTACCTGTTCCTCCAGACTCCCACACTTCCTCAGTGCTGACTTAAAGTTGTCATCTTTCTGCTGTGCCTCTTCCTTCAGAACCATCTCAACCTGTTCCAACTCCATGATTCTGTCAGCGTGAGACCGAGCAGTCTGATTGGCAGTTAGTCTTTCCTCTTTCAGTTGTTCCTGCACTAACTTCTCCTTTGTCTCCAGCTCTGTGATTTTGTTGCGGTAGCCTTGAAGAAGGGCACCATTTTTCTCTGCCATATCTTTTGTATTCTGCAGCTCTACTTTGCTAGCCTCCAGATGAATTTCCAAATCTGTGATGATCTCCTCTTTGCTGTCCAGAAGACTTCCAATGTCCCCTGAGAGTTTCTTCTGCTCTTCCACTTGGTAGATAAGTTTTTCCACCTCATCCTATGTCAAATATAAATCATAAAAATTGAATCCAATCCATTACATTCAATATAATATGAAGTCTTTGTTGGCGTCTTTCAGTGTAATAATCAAAATATTTAGTGAACAGTTCTTTTTTTAACTCGGTACAAAGTTTAAACATTACACTGTCTCACTAATTCTATAAAAATGTTATGGGGTTCATCAAAACCCTTCTGCAGTCTTTTTAATTCCAAAGTATAATAATTTGTCTCACAATACCCTCCTTGAATCACCATAAAGACAAAATCCAGAAATGCTTTATATTGTAAAATTATACTTCGTACCCAAGGTACTTAAAAAATAAGGAGTTCTCTTAATCCATCAAATTTTTACGCAAAAGAAAGTTTCAAACTAATCTAAATCTCTAATTCAATAAGGAGTAAGGAGCCACCCCCTCTCTAGTAACAGCTAAGAGTAATACTTAAGGTTGCTTTCTGAAAAAAAGTCCAAAAACACAAGAAATCCTAGAGGTCAATATTTTATTTGAGTTGTACACACTGCAATCTAAGTACTATCTTTCTCCTGTAATAACCACAACACATCAATATTCTTCAAAGTCTACTGATTGGTTTGTTACAATATAACGAAATAGCATTGATTTCCAGTTTTACCGATCAGCATTATATGTTTAATGTTTGGGCTTACTACCAAACATGGGTCCACTGACAGACAAATATGATATACCAAACAGGGTTGTTGCAGTTATTAAATTTCTTAAAAACCATGTGATAACCAAGAGAAATTTCTGTACCATGGTAAAGTTTACTAGCGGAACTAGAAAATACAGATATTATAACCCTTGTACCCCACATATTACATAAAATGAAAAATTTGTTAATTTTCATTAGTTGAGACTAGTGTTGAGATTTTCTTGCTCAGGCAAAAGCCTGCGCGAGTGAGTGGGAGTCCCGCCAGTGAAGACTAGCCTCTCAACTATCTGGCCTTCAGGAACCCATACATACTGGCTAGAAAGGTGGTAGTATTTATACTAGCCATGTTAATTAACTGGTGAAGTACTAATACACATTAGATAACAGGTAAACAAAGATTGAATTATACATGAGTTATTGACATGGTCTTGCACACATAAATGGCAACAGATTCGGCTGTTTACAACAAGATAAGGTTACACTGACCATCATACAAACTGCTTAGATAGGCTTCAGGTAATGACTTATATAATCAGGGAACGAACTAATACATGAACATGTGTAGTAGATCAGTAACGACAGAATACCTCTGGCCACTGGTCAATACATAATTGTTCACAGTAGATGTCAGTACTAAATTAACACAGGCAGATACATTATGATGAAACATCTGACTTATGCCTAGCAGAATTTTGAATAATTTAATCTTATATATTAATTTTTGATAGTTCATACACTTCCTTATGTAATATTATGGAGGGGTTACCTTTTCATTGTTAAGTTTACGTAGAAGATCACTATTCATTTGCTGAAGTTCAACACAATCTTGCTCTACCTCCTGTAAACTGCTACGTGTTACATCCAGACGTGACTGAAGCTCAAGCTGACATTCCTTTCCATGATTTTGCTCCTCAGCTGGGAAAGGTGAATATGCTCAAACATAAAATATTTGACAAGATGTTTTTTTCCTTGGTCAGTAATGTGCCATTGATCACAAACTTCTCCATAAAACAAAAAGCAACATTATCATACATGTATCTTAAAATCATTTTGCTGGTGATATCATCAAGGAAGATTAAGATCAAAGATCACTTAGTTTTTCTGCATCTGTAATTTTGGAAATACAATATGCATGCATAACTATGCATTTCTGAGAAATTTTTGTTATGACAATGAAATTGTTTAAAAGATAACATATCTTAGGAATTGGCATTTATGATCAGTTTATAGAAAACATGAAAATCTCTGTAAGATGTGGATGCCCCTGTTACCAATACAAGGTGGGTAATTTGTTATGAATTAACAATAACCAGATCTGTTAAGATGTTCTCAAGACATGGCCTTGATTGGAACAGGATGTGTCAAGACAGAAGGATATGAGAAACACTACATGCCCTTCTGGATCTTGATAAGGCAGGGACTTTATAAAATGAAACCATAAAAAATTGAATCTCTTACAACATGTTGACCATTGATAAAAGTACAAAGCTCCCAAAGGAAATGATATTCACTCACCTAGCTGTGTTTCTATCACTTCATACTTTTCAGACAGCAAACGAATATTCTCATTGACAGTCTTTTCTTGACTAAAAAGGTTTGAGAGATAATAATAAATAGTCTTGATGAATGAAATAACTGATTTTCATGTGAGAACAATATTGTATGTTTTTCTTACTCCATATTTTCACTTTAACAATTAAAAACTTATCACAAAACATATCAATTAGAATTCCATATGACTAAACAGTAATAAATGATGGGAATTAATTATCAGACAGATTCTACAGTGTAGTGTATTGATTACACAAATAGCAGACTTTGTGTTTAATATTCATAGAAAGAGAATGTTTTCTCCATTGTTGTAAAACTTTGTGACTTTTACCTTGTAATAACTCATTTACCTAGAATTTACATAAAAATAAATAGCATTTTATTTCCGCCAAAAAAACAAGTAATTATAAAGGTATTGATGATCAGTTATAAAATAATTACAAGTGATCATTTCATCTGATGAAGTGAAACAACCAGATAGTTGATTATATGCAATCACCATCCCATCACTATTACTGGAAACATCTAACAAAGGAGGTCCAATGTACAGTAGCCAAACAGGAAAACATTGAAACTTTAAAACCTGAGGAAAACTTACTCCTCCAAATGTTCTAGTTTCTCTCTATACCCTGCAATTTCTGCATTGGCTTCAAACAATGCCTGTTCTCCCTGTAACATATGGTCAGCAGTAGCAGACACCTCACCTTTCAGGAACCTTTACAAAGCAAATAGAAGTTGTATTGAAGTATGATTTCTTTAAAAGAGAAAATTTGCAGAAAATGTGATTAATAGGGGTTTTTTTATACTCCAAACGAGGGATTGCTTGTTTGTTTGATTTTTTTCTAACTTGTTTTGGATAGGACTTTTCGTTTTATTTTGGAAAGAAAAAGGGTAAATTGTAAAGAAAAGTGGTAAATCAGGAAGAAAAGTGGTAAATTGGTAAGGAAAGTGGTAAATTGGTAAGAAAAGTGGTAAATTGGTAAGGAAAGTGGTAAATTGGGATGGAAATGTATTAATGTTAATTTCAATGGGGAATGGTGCCCATAATCAGTCCAGAAAAGCCTTCAACAGTGTCCTGCAGCCATCCTCGATAATCCAGGTGTTACGATCACTTTCGCTCTGTGCACCTCTGGAACATGTCATGGCAAAATTGAAGGTGCCATGTGTGACTCCATGCAGAAAAGACAAAAACACTAGTTTGATCCTTTGATGTACATCAAACGAATCTTAAGATTGCATAACCGTATATTGTAATGGATTTGAAGTTTGGTGTCGCTCCTTTGTAATCTTCAAAAGGGCCATATCAGTCTGTGATTGGTCAATTTTTTCTCTTGGAACCAAACAAATTACTTTGCTTGTGCCTTTACTTTTGTCATGAAATGTTCCAGGGGTGCAGAGAGCAAAAGTGATTATGACCCCTGGAGTATCGAGGATATCCTGCAGCCAGTAAGAAAATTGAAAAGTGACATTTCATTAACTAATGACTACTATGTCTCCTAATATCAGACAAATAAGCACTGAAGTATATGTATATCCCAAAGTGTTCAGTGATAAAGATGGTAATAAAATTGGTTGTTTTTTTGCAAACAAACCTGAATCAAATGTTTCTTGTAACATAGAATTATTACATTTAGTCCTCTTTAAGGATACAAGCCAAAATAGCTTTCCTGACCAATAATTCAACTTTAGATCCTCACTGAGGCAAAAAAGTTTGTCAAATTCAGCATATAAAACATATCTTCATTTGATGTTGAGTTTGAATAGGACTTTCCATCATTACCTTATTGAGTCATCTTTCTGCCATGAGTCAAGCTCCAGTTCTCTAAGCTTATCCTGGAGTCGAGATTTCTGGGCTTGTAGGGCCTCCCTACAAATAAGATTTTAATAACTTGCCAGGAATTACATAAATCTTCAACACACGTACCAACCATCCGCTTTTTCTCAAACATCAGACATTGATATACAGCACATTGTATAACAAGAAAGAAGTTTCTACAATATGGACCTTTGGTAACAGCAAGTGACTCACAAACTCACTATATTCTGCATTCTTTTGAATCGATGATATAACAAAGTGAAAGTAGAATCTACAGGGTCTATTTTCGGAACACTGGTATAGAACAGGTTATAATACAGTAGGAAAAAGTGCTCAAGGTAAAGATACTGTTCTGTTCTTTATGATTTCAATTTTTCTTTTCTTTGTTTTTTTTTTAAAAAAAGAATTTTACCTTTCATCAAATTGTGTTTTAATCATTTAAGGAACAGCATCTGACATTCCCCTGAATAAAACAAAATTTCTATAAATCATTCACATGTAGAATCATATCAATTTCACTTTTACTCACTTGCATTTCTTGAGAGACTGAGCCCAGTCTTTGGAATCATGTCCAGAAAATAGTTTACAACGCTCACATCCTCCCCCATTGGTGTCATTCTGAAATATTTAAACTTTGTTCCTGTCTAACCATCTATACTATATACAGGATATCAAACGATTAAACGCAGAATACATGACGGCCTATATCAGTTTTAATGATGTGACAAACATCATTATATACAGTACAAACTTTTAAATACAAGCCAAGAGAGACAGCTTATAAACTAAAAGTAGAACAAGAACATAATCTATAAGAAGAGGGTGGACAAGGAAGGAACGTTACATTATTTCTTGAATACAAAATATGTATATGTAAGTGTGGGCTTATTACCAGATATCAGCTTATTACTAAGATACTTGTGGTATATTTTTAAAGTGGTGCAGGGCTTTCAATGAAAATTTTGTTTGCAGTACACTTATTTATGAGATTTATGCCAAATATTGAATTTAATACTTTGTGATGCACCATGCAAAATGTCTGGATTGAAGTATTTTGTGACAAATATCCAATGTGCTATTAAATAATCTCACCAAAATGACAGACATGCTGATCTTTACAAGTTATGTTCTTAATGAGAGTTAAAATTTACTGGTGTTTTATTGAATATCTGAGTGTATATATCTGACTCTTCATTATATGTTTTCCCTACAACCTTGTCTTTTCCTTTTGTTGTCAAGCTCTCCACTGACGAGGATATAGAGGAAGACTGGCTCAGGAGTCGCTTGGATGCTGACAAGGTCTGTAACAACAATAATAATCACCATGGAATGTTTCATTGGTTGGATTTATTTTTGTCAAATTGAAAAAAAATCACTGAAATGATGAACGCAAAATGCTGGGATTTAACCTACTAGATTGCCTAGGCATGTTGAGTTGAGTTTACAGCGAGTGTCATTGAGGCTCTTTTTACCAGGTGTTACAGATGATATGTCAAACGCTCCTGGGCCTGGAGTTATCACTGAAAAATAGAAAATTAATCTAGCTCAAATTAATACAATAACATGTAAAAAATTTGTTCACAATATTTCACATGTGATGGAGATCTATATTTTGCATTTTTAAGTTTCAGTTCACATCATATTCTCCTTGGTTAATCTACACCTATTAACGGCAATGTACTAAACAATTTACAGTGAAAACAATGATGGTGGAGGTCATGACAATATTTTTTTTATCAAAATGAAGTTTTGCTATTTTGCTGAAATTAGTTTTGTCGGTTTGAAAATGAATTTACCACTTAGGAAGCAAGATTGTTGATGCAAACTGACACTTGGAATTAATGTATTCAACTTCAATCGTCCATGAGAAAAAAAACTAAACCTATGTACAGGTACAATATTGTAAGAGATCTGTGACTGCTTACATTTGCCAAATACATTATTCTTATTGTTAATATCATTTAAGGACAAAACAAAATTGAATATGAAAGAAAATCACCCTTTGGCTCTTTGAATCGTTCTGTTGAAGAATTTATAATCACTGCTCCTTTTTTCTTTGCAAGATCTCTAGGGTCATAGGCACCAACTGGAGGGGCGCAGGCTACAATGAAGGCACCACAATTAACTGAACACCTGTAAATAGCTTAAATATGTATTTCTGAGTAAAAGATATCAATGTTAATGTCCCAAGATTTCTGTACAGACAGAAAATCCATTTGTATTAACTATCCTATCGTTAATGTACTATATGGCATATATTCCAATGTAACTGATAATAATTGTTTTAAATAGTATTAACAAAACACTAAGGTAATTTATTCCTTAAACTCCTGCTAATTCACAAAACATTATTTGGCTAGATTTTGCTTTTCATGAAATTTTCATCAAAATTTGTGAACATACTACACATTTGCTGGTTATCTCTGAATGTCCTTTAGTGACCTATTAGAGACAAGATTATATCCATTACATTTCAGCTTTGCTGGACAATTTGTGTAAACAAAGAGGATAACTGGTCTCTATTTAGTGTCAGCTGAATCATTACTGGTCAATCTGGACTGTGATTTTAACAGAAATTATTTTCCACAAAAATTAGCACAATCAACTTGAAATAATTAAGCTTTCTAATATTGTTTATTTTGAAAAGAATGGTTATGTACTTTTGGAGGAAAATGGTTTAAAACACAACAAAGCTAGTTGACTTTAATTTCTTTGCGTTACAGAGATAAGTAATAAATAAAATACATTTATAGAGCGCCCTATATAATTTCGCAAATTACTCTAAGGCACTTTACAGTGCATGTAAAATTCCAGTCATGGTATCAATAATAAATTATACATCTACATATATGCATGATGTGCTGATCATTGTGTCCGCATGATCACCGTGTCTATACCAGTAAACGTTGAATTCCTCGGCCATTTTGATTTTATCATGGATTGATAAACAGACATCGTCCTCGCCATATTTAGTTTCTAACATTGAATAGTCCTTTTCAACAGAAAATAGATCGCCCTATGCCCACAGTAATGGTAATTCGTTCCGATGTGTGGGGACTGGGGAGGAGCGTGAGAGGGCCGATATAACGTAGGGACATAAGATTAAAGCACGTGAACTGTTTTGTAAATAATCGTACATACACACACAAAAAAAATCATCAAACATTAATGATTTACCTGCCTCATCACAATCTGTAATTGAAATATGAAATGAAATGTGTTAAAGTGACACTTTGCGATTTCGGTCGAATCAGAATAGATCCCGCATTCAATTGTATTTATGACATTTACCACCAACAATATACCTTTAACATCGTTGAATCGTTTACCCTTCGCAAATGACATTATGTACGAATATTCTGTACAAAATACTTTGCAGTGAGGAGAGCCGGAGTCTTCAGAACAACACCGCCAAGATTTTAAACAATGTTTGGTTTCAGATAAACCCACCAATCAAATTCACTTCCGGTCTGGATTATTTGGAGGCTCGCCACGGGAAAATTTTTCATGTCGACTAAAAGGAGGAGAGCACACGACTTTTCATGGCTGACTACTACACAGAAACTCGTGGTTTGTTTAAATTGGGGGTGGTGGTGGGGAGTGGAGTGAGGGTGGGGTATGAGAGAGAGAGACAGGGAGGGGGGAGGAGAAATATAAGTTGAAATGTGATAATATACAATCATTTCACAACGTGTTTTTCTCTTTAATAAAGAAACGGAGATTTAAAAAAAAAGTTATATCCTATGTAGATACCTATTTTCATACTCAAGCTCTTTCACTCTCATGTTGCGTTCCTCCAAATTAAAAAGAGAAGAGACATGAATTGAACAAAATATATAGGGGAAAATGTTATATAAACATATAGTAATTAATAATTTTGATAAATGTTTGTTTCATATTTACATCAGTTGACCTTTAAGATTTTATCCTGAATGTTTCACCATTTTTTTAACCACTGAGTTACTTGACACATTATATTATCGCGAAAAACACATACATTATTACACACGTTGTAACCAATGAACAAGTGCTGCTTTCATTTGGTATAATGTTTTTGCTCGTTCGACCATGATTGGTTTCCAGTGTTCTGAACTTACAGTTAGTGCCATAGTTTCTCCTCCTAGTAGAAATTCTGAAAGTCTCTCTTCGTCATTTAGAATATTAACGCTCTGATGAACCGGAAGTAAGTTTACCATGAACGTTTGTAGGGCGTCTCTTGCGTCAAAATACACCTGACAGTCTATTATTAAATGATTCACAATGTCACTGACATGTTTTTTTTTTTACATGAGTCACACACACAACTGGAAATTGGTAGTGTTCCAGGTTTAACTAGAAATTCAAACTCTGGAGTCATGTTAGGTTCCTCTAAGCTCAGCAACCAGAGTTTATGTGGCGCGATCCTTACATGTATATTTCGAAAACGATTTAGGTCTGCCCGCCTTATTACACGTTCTTTCCAGTCTCGTTCGGATACATTCAAATATCATTTCTCACTGTGTATTTCCAAGAGAGTTTGCTTGGAAAACATTCATGTTTGATAAAACTGCTTAGAAATTCTTCCAGACCGTATTTATAAAGTGTTGTAACAAATGACCGGAATATTTCTGTACATTCTGCCAATCCAAACATGAGAAATATTGCTATGTTAAAGTTTAGCAACTGTTTATGTATTTGTGAGGTATCAGTTAGACAGAGTCTTCCAAAAAACAGTAACCGGTGTCTATCTATATACTGAATCATTCTGTCAATTCAAAGAGTTTCAAATGTGCTATCAGGCGGCGAGTTTTTAGCTAAACCTTGCAGGATGCGACAACACTTTCCTTTGTACAACCTCTAATTTATCTACATTTCTGACTCTGGTCTCACCCCACATCTCACAAGCGTGCAAACCAGTGGGCAAAATAACGTGTTTCCAAATAACAATAGACGCTATCGGGTGAATTTCTCCGAACCGAAGATCGATATACCGCAGCGAGTGGAAAGACTTTTGTAGTATTCCGCAAGCCCTTTCAATGCATTTATTTTGAGGATTCACACAGTTCCTGCATGAATAACACTTTCTTTCATTTTGATTTTACTTTCCCCAATGTCGAATTCCGTGTTACCTTGTTGGTTCCCGTTGTTAAACACGACTACAGCACTTTTCGCGGCATTGTATTTTAATTGCCATTTGTAGGCATGTGCTCTTGTAGTTTCTAGAAGGGTCAGTAGGCCGGATTTAGTTAAAGATATCAAACATGTATCGTCAGCCAACAAAAGACCAGGAATATGTCTGTCTATGAAATTAATTCCACATTTTGTCTCACACAAGTTAGTCATTAATCCATCAATAGATAATTTGAACATAAACGCGCTGAGAACTTTTCCTTGACCGACCCCGCGCGTCACTTCTACGCAGTCGCTGAGTTCACCCTTAAGACGAATACGTACTTTTGTGTTCATATATGAGCTAAAATAACTTTCCATAATTTTCCTCTAATACCAAGTTCATGCAATTTATGAAATAAACTATTCAGCCATATCCTGTCGAATGCCTTTTCATTATCTAGGAAAGCGATATTTCTTTATCCGAACTGTAATGAATTTGGAAAATCAATTTTTGACTGTATAATCCAATGCTCTATCCTTTCCAACAGAACTTCTTCGAATAGTTTGCCAGTTGATGACGTCAGCGTGATTCCTCTAAAGCTTGATGGGTCCGAAGGATTTTTTTATCCCCTCCTTTGAATACTGGTATCACAATACCTTCCTTAAACGATTCTGGTACATATTCTGAAGACAATATGAGACTGAAGAGAACGCATAAGAATTTGACGATCTCTTTCCCGCCATATTTTATATATTCATTGCATATACCGTCAGGCCCTGGGGATTTACCAATTTTTAATTTTGCTATGTGTAACTGTAGTTCCTTTACCGATATTTCATTTTCAATAGTATTTTGGGAATGAGGCGATGTAAGATATTGTAGGATTAATCAAGAGAGAAGAAGACAAAGTAATACTTCAAGAAGATCTAAATACCATGGGAGAATGGAGTGAGAAATGGCTACTAAAATTACATCCGGATAAATCCAAACATATGTTAGTCGGACAAGATACTGCACAAATAGATGGAACAGGAGCAGAGTACCAATTACTGGGGGAAAATCTAAGAGTCACTTTCATTGGTATAAATATATGACACCATACAATATAAAATAATAGTGAAAGATATCTTCATAAGGATTCCCACAAGTACATAAAGCATTATCTACAGGTGAATTCAACTGAAACTAGACATCCAAAAGATAATAAAAACTGGTAGGATTTCTTGTATGGAACTTAGCTCGAATTTAAAGAAAATATTCAAGCTAACAAATCTTTGGCCAGCAAAGCCTAAAATCAGATCAACATTAGTTAGTCTAATAGACTTTACTATTTCGGTATCAAGAGTTGCCATCTTCACTTTTGAGGTAATGTGACCGCCAGAAAACCGTTAATTATTGTATGTAAACACGGTTCACAGTGTTGTTACGGATGTCACACTCCACAAAGGGAGGTCGCATTCTAGTGGCCATACTCTTCAACGGGAGGTCACACATACAACGGGAGGTCACACATACAACGGGAGGCCACACATTACAACGGGAGTCACACATACAACGGGAGGTCACAGGGGAGGGATCTATTTGTTATAGAGGTCATGCTCAACAGTTGTAGTGATACAGTAACAGTTGGAGTGATATAGTAACAGCGGTAGTAATACAGTAACAGTGATAGTGATATAGTCACAGTGGTAGTGATACAGTAACAGTTGTAGTGATATATAGTAACAGTGGTAGTGATATAGTAACAGTGATAGTGATAGCTAAAAACGTCAATGACGTCGTCAAAACCAACCTGTCAGTCGAATTACGTACTTTACTATAGCTAAAACATCAATGACGTTGTCAAAACCAACCCGTCAGTCGAATTACGTATTTTTCTATAGCTAAATACATTAATGATGTCGTCAAAACCAACCCGTCAGTCGAATTACGTATTTTTCTATAGCTAAATACATCAATGACGTCGTCAAAACCAACCTGTCAGTCGAATTACGTACTCTACTATAGCTAAAAACGTAAATGACGTCGTCAAAAGCAACCCGTCAGTCGAATTACGTACTTCAGCTAAAAACATCAATAACGTCGTCAAAACCAACCCGTCAGTCGAATTACGTACTTTAGCTAAAAACATTAATGATGTCGTCAAAACCAACCTGTCAGTCGAATTACGTATTTTTCTATAGCTAAATACATCAATGACGTCGTCAAAAGCAACCTGTCAGTCGAATTACGTACTTTACTATAGCTAAATACATCAATGACGTCGTCAAAACCAACCCGTCAGTCGAATTACTTACTTTAGCTAAAAACATTAATGATGTCGTCAAAACCAACCCGTCAGTCGAATTACGTATTTTTCTATAGCTAGATACATCAATGACGTCGTCAAAACCAACCTGTCAGTCGAATTACGTACTTTACTATAGCTAAATACATCAATGACGTCGTCAAAACCAACCCGTCAGTCGAATTACGTATTTTTCTATAGCTAAATACATCAATGACGTCGTCAAAAGCAACCTGTCAGTCGAATTACGTATTTTTCTATAGCTAGATACATCAATGACGTCGTCAAAACCAACCTGTCAGTCGAATTACGTACTTTACTATAGCTAAATACATCAATGACGTCGTCAAAACCAACCCGTCAGTCGAATTTTGTACTCTACTATAGCTAAATACATCAATGACGTCGTCAAAACCAACCTGTCAGTCGAATTACGTACTTTACTATAGCTAAATACATCAATGACGTCGTCAAAACCAACCCGTCAGTCGAATTTTGTACTCTACTATAGCTAAATATTTCAATTTCTACCCAAATCAGACTCAATGAAACAACTGAATGTGATCTGTTTCATTTATCGATGAATTTGGCGAGATTAACATTGCCAGTGCGTATGAATACAAGTTTTAGGTAAAGGGAGAAAACTTCCCAAGTTCTATTAGACTGGCAATATACCACAGGTATGAGATTTAAATACATGAAAATAAATATTTAGAAACTATTGAAAACTATTAATACAATTTAATAAAAAAAAATAATTGTGTATTCAACATTTAATAACTGTAACTGTAACTTTACGTTTCAAAAGATTTGAAGTGACTGAAGACGATATTTCTTGTTCTCCGCTTCGGTGCCTGTAAAAATATGGCCGACACAGCTTCGTTTGCGAAACGTTATTCCTCCGCGGGGGGAAATGCATACTGTCTTTGTTGCACAGTATGATTTAAATTTCATTAAAGTTGTCGAAAAATATATTAAGTTATGTTCTTATTAAAGTTTCCACGCTGAAATATATTTCAACCTTTAACAATAATTTGTCTTCAAAGGACGGACTATTTGCTTGTATGACGTCAAACGATATGACGACAAGAAATGAAAATGGAAGTAGAAGATAAATTGCGTCAGTTCCCATGCTATAGAAAAACGAAGCGTGAATTGAAATTTAAGGATTGAATCATGCTTATGCTAAAATTTGTCTCAAGACCAACTCAATTCATCATTCCATGAAAGCAAGATTCAATCCATAAATACATCAAGGACGTCGTCAAAACCAACCCGTTAGTCGAATTACATAGGAGGGCATACCTCAAATACGGCAGGCAGAAAGGGGGAGACAACTAGTAACAGGGGCGATAACTCGGTGAGTAATGACGTCACACACTCTGCCATGATGATATGATGAGGGGCCGTAAGTGCAGTGGGTTGTTTAGGTCGTCAATTTGGATTTCCGTTGCTAAATAAATCCAAAATGGCGGACTCCTTAGCAAGCCATCCCCTCATCGTCATCTAATCATCATCTTTTCTGTCGTCCGTTATTAATCTCTGGAATTATTTCCTGACAGAGTAAAAATGACCCGTCAATAACTAAACTGAGAAATCACCTAAATGTACAAAGTCACAAGTTCCACCCTATTTCTATAGTGGTAGTAGACTGGATCAGATTCCCAATGCAAAATTGAGAATGCAGTTCTCTAAGTTTCTATATTCCGTAGAAACCTTGTCTATATTCCTTTGTGTTCGTGTAATGAATAAGATGAGAATGAATATTTTTTTAAAATTACAATATCGGCTCTCCTCCGACCTTTGCATACGTTGCTTTGGTCATTAGATAACCCTATCTCAATTGAAATGTTACTCTTCGGTAACAATGAACTAACAAACGATGAAAATTCTCTATTTTTTTTTTTTTTTTTGGGTGTAGAAAACTTTTTTAAAAAATTTAATTTTTCTAATTTCATTTTTTAAGAATATTCTTAATATTACTTTTTTGCAATACACAGTTGTTTATGAACATAATGCAGCAATGTCATACCATCAACATTAGTCATGGCATATCAACTTAAATTGTCTTATCACCTATCCTAACTTTTCTATTCTTACTACTTTCTCCATTTCATGCATACACACATAAATAACAACTATCTCCCACTTGTCAGATTTATAGTTTCTATTTACAAACGGAGACGGATTAATATAAGATGGAAAACTTGTTTCTGAATCTAATTTTAATGATTGTTCTTGTGTTGTTAAATATATATGTATATATAAGAATGAAATAAAGTTTATATTGAATCATTTTGCAATTTTTCCTATAATGCTACCTGGTTATCAACTAATTATTTAATTAAACAAACCACTACCACAATGCATGCAATGCAAATATTTTGAGGAATTTATTTGTCATTTTCTTATGAATTATTTGTTAACCAAATGAATGTAGATGTCAATGACATAGATAATTTTAGTTTGATATTAAAAAAACTTGTGTATTACGATTTTCTAAGCTTTCTTCATAGTATATGACAAAACAAATATCAGTAATAAAATAATTAACATGCTTTGCTTATTCAGAAATAATTTTTCAGTTCTTCAGAAAATGTCACCAAAATTATGTTTGCCAGAACATGCAAATGTTTGGTAGATAAAATTCTGTCAATTGATAACCATGCATTTTCAATGATGCAGAGATTATTTATTTTATAAATTGTGTTCTTATTGTAATATCTACATTGATTGGCTTTATATCAGAAACACCTAATATATATATAATATATATTCATTTTAACTAACCTCTTTAATCTATTTCTTATTCTTTTTCATTTCCTTCTTGACAGAGTAGTATGTCATATCAATTGTGATTGATGGAAGACACCACGAATGAGAAGTAAAAAATTCCATTCGATTTCATACGAAAAAAATATGGCATAAAACGGCATGTAATCAGTAGGTGTATTTTGTGTAAATGCTGTAATTTCTATGAATTTTGTTTACTATCTTTATTGTTGTGAAGCAACGTTATTTATTTATGAAATAATAATATAGTGCACACAGCTGTGTATCACTGATGTATCAGGGAATATGGCTAACTGTTGAATAGTTTTTATTCCCTCCATCTAACTTTACTCTTAAAAGGTGATTGAGATCCTACTTTTTCAATTAACAGCATGAAATCAAATGAAAAATACGTATCAATCCCATTATAAGTTGAAAAGAAATATTACAACTACACATCAAACAAGATCTTGAAATTTCAATTCAAAAGTTGAACTTTTCAAGTATTGATTACAATTATTTTTGAGATTATTCACGGGGGTAATCACAGCAATTGACCAGTCAGCAGGAAAAATCCATATTCTAAAATGTTGTTAAAAAGGATGCACAAAATAGGCAATAAAATATCTTTACCCACCCAAAAATTTCATTATGATAACACCTAAATCATGAGATTTGTCTCATTTTAAATTCTTTATAGCATTACTTATTTCATCTTCAGTAATTGCGGCATCGAAGGTCAGTAAATCGGTCGCCTTCGCAGAATTTGAGAGCCAAATCACCTCAACTGTTCTTGAATAATTTGTCTTTTAGCCGTACTCCCAAATTACAACCATACCAACCGACGCAGCATCAGGAGACCTTCAGCCAAAGTAAAAAAGCGTGACTACATCGACTTTGGTAAGATAGGTACGAAACAAAATCTAAAGGCACCCTTACCACTAAGATGAAAATAAATAGAACATTTTTAGTTGATTGTACGAGTACAAAATGGTTGACTTGATGAGGACATTGTACCTATGCTATCTTTCTGGCGGAAAAAAGGATTACACACCAGGGGTCGTAATTAATCGTCCAGGATGTGTGTGGGCATCGTTCTTGGATAGTTCGGATAGTTTAGAGTCAATATACTGAACCTTTGGATGTACTCGGTTACTGGACTATGTCTTTGACAGAATTTACGTTACAAAACTCTACAACTGTTGTGAAGATCCAGTTAGGAATAAGAAACACCACACGATATTTTGTCATACTCTATCCGTATGATTTGTATGCTTTCACTATGATCGACCGGTAAAGACACGCTCGTCTTCTCTACCTCTACGATGCAAATACAAGAGAAGGGAAATGGCTGGTAGAAAGTATCACAAATGAATAAATATACGCCTTATGTGAATTCTTAATGTGTACAAGGGTACAATTGAGGTAGGTGTCTACTTCGTGTCAAGAAACTTTTTCCTTACAAAACGACCATACATATTTTCTCCAGTCGCAGTATTAGAAATTCACGCGAGAAATCATTCCATACCTCGCATCTTTATCAAAACAGCATCATTAATGTTAAACGACGATAAAACAGACGAATAAGAGTGATTATCATACAACTGCGATGAAAGGGACTTTTGGAGCTACAGAAATAGGATGAAAGACATGCGAAATGTCTCGGGGCAAGTTCTAAGGTATGACTTATTGGGGGACCTCAAGCATTGGGAGGGAACATAATTCTTGAGGTGCAAGCATACCCCTTAGCACAGGTTAAGCGGCTGGAAAACCGCATACTCTACTACTTCCACTCTGTAACTTGGCTTTTAACGATAAAAAACCGCAGTTTTAACAGTGGTTGAATCTTTTTACGTCAATCCAAATTTAAACGAAAAGGTCTGCTATCTGCTCAACCGCTCGATTTAGCCCCTTAAGACATGTCTGTATTGCCCATTAGTGTTTCTCTCCATATATATTGGCCATGCGCTGTTATTTTTGTGAATTTTCCCTCTGATGGAGGATTCCATTGGTATTTTGTTTTCGTTTTTCTCTCTATTATCTTTTTGTAGAATTCATGAAAAGTTCTTTCACACTGCCGTAAAAGACATCATTCCATTCTCCAGGGAAATCTTCTGTCATTCTGATGTTATCTCCCTTGTTGTATCTGAATCGTGATGTTGTATTAAGTCTTGTCCACCTGCAATCTCGAAGGTTTTACAAATGACACTGAAGTGAATGGCACATTGAATGTAATGACGTTCAATTTACAGATTATGATTAACTTGCTTTCTCAACGTTTATTGCTTTTATGTGACCGTTGATTCGATTTAGGGGTTTGTATTCACTTATGAGTTTCCATGAGACTACTCAGACGATTGGCATGGAGTCGAAGGACTCCAATAAATACTGATGAACGGTTTGGGTGAATACAAGTGAACGGTGATACTAAATATATGTGTGGATTTTCCATGTAGGCTAAAAAAAGTCTTATTTAACAGTCAAGACTACAAATAACTGGAGGCCGACTTTTTTGATATATAAAAGCTGAAATTAAAACGATACTTCTAATATAAAATATCACCATGTTTGTGCGTAACACGTGTCAAATACCTTTGCCAATCTTATTGGCCGAATTCAGTTGATAGAGTATCGCTTAAATTAGCACATTGTTAAAAATAACGCCGATATCTAATCGAAGATGCCATTTGTATCTCAATAACATTCGTCATAGCATAGGAGAGTTATGGTAAAAAAAACCAAGGAGTGTGCTATGCAAAGATGTCACGTCGGGTTCCCACACAGTATTCATAAACTATTGAAAAGTATATTGCACATAACGAAATATAATCAGAAAATAATGTGTCATGATGTTTCTGGTATTTTGTACAGGTAATCCTCCAGGGATATACGTCATTTTACTTTGGTTCATCACTGTATTTACTGATGGAATGACAGACGATAAAAGAAATCTTGATTTAAGGTACCTTCTTTTCAAATCCGGGACAGCACGAAAAATCAGTGTACATATTTTTGGAAAACTGTTAATCTATTTCTTATTACGATACCATTACATTCCCTGGACTGGTCTGGGTATATATTGTAGTTGCTGTTACTGAAACAGAAAACGTGTGCCCTTCCAGGACATGTCCTCTTATTCCCTATACAAATATCGAGGGCATCCGTGTAAATAATTTCTTTGGAAATAGATTGACCTCGTTTGGTAAGACAATTGTTTGTTTATGTGATATGAATTTCAACGTGTTTGGTACTCGTTAGTATACATGTTGCTTTGTTTGTATATATCAATTTTTATCAGCAGTTAGTAGATAGTCATATATTTATGATTAAATTCTGATGCGCCACGGAGAATAATGATGTATCTCGTTGCTTTTATACCACCGTAAACGCAACAAAACGCTTTTTAATCCCTATTTATACATGTAAAATTGTACAATTATAACAATAGACGGAAAGGAAACACATTGATTTTATTTTTTTTCAGATTTTCATTTGTTCGTTTGTCGTTTTTAATGTCACTGTTATACTAAATATCGAAAATAATTGTACTCGAGATATGGATATCGAATTTGAAGTTTTGTATTACGGTATGAACGGCGCAATGACTGTTATAAAGTTCCTTCCCCTATTTCTGTTAAGCCTTCTTTTTTACACACTGGATAAGAGCTTCTCCCTTTAGGCCGGCCAAAATGTTCTTTGCTGTCAGTATAGACATGTTGTTTCTGGTAGTAGTTGTCGAACTTCCAATATGTGGCAGTATAATACAGTTGTCTAGTTTGACCAATGGGTGGTTCTTAGATATAGGTTCAGGAGTTGTTGCATCAAGTCCGGCGGCAAAGATTTGACCAGTAGTCAAAGCTTCATACAAATCATCTTGGTTGACAAGAATCCCTCGTGTGACATTGACAAATACAGCTGAATTTTTCATCTTCTTAAACGCCTCCTTGTCAAATAAACCATAGTTATCGGAGTTACTGGAACAACATGCTAATACAAAGTCTGATTCTGATAAAAGCCTTTCGAACGATGCAAACTCTGCGGAGACCTCGACCGCCAAAGGAACTTCTGCAATGTCATAATAGAGAAATCTGGCAACGTCGAACCCTTTTAGACGCTTAGCAACTGCTAGGCCAATTCTTCCAAGCCCAATGATTCCAACGGTTGAGCCCTTGGTCTCAGGACCACTTAGGTAAAGACCACTCTCCCACTTGCCATCAGCTTGACCATTTGTGATGTCAGCCATGCCTTTAGACACAAATACAACACATGTCGGTAACATTTACATTTGCATGCAACATCAAAGTTCAGTTCAAAAAAGGCGTAGAATATTTCGTATCATACATCCGCATCACTTTTTCATTAAGAAAACATATTACCAAAACGACCAGCTGTAGTCGTATTAGAAGAAGAAATAAACGTATACCTTATATGTAACTTAGGTTTCTTCTCTTTTACATTTGCATGCAACATCAAAGTTCAGTTCAAAAAGGCGTAGAATATTTCGTATCATACATCCGCATCACTTTTTCATTAAGAAAACATATTACCAAAACGATCAGCTGTAGTCGTATTAGAAGAAGAAATAAACGTATACCTTATATGTAACTTAGGTTTCTTCTCTTTTGCTTGTTGGTTACGTTGGTGTATATCTTTTTCTCATTTGAGTACGTGTCTTTGTTTGCTCATATTTGCCCTAGTTTTATGGTATTTGAGTTTGGATTATGATTATGTTGCCATGTTGGTATTTTCCTTTCCTATTCTTAGTTCTTTCTTTTAATTTGAGAACTAGAAATGACCAAGGAGAAATTAAAGGTACATGTTCTTGTTTTGTTTCATTTAAATAAACATAGAAATAGTTTCATGAGGAAGTGTTTGGCAGCACTTGTACGTTGACATCTAACAATTATTTGAGCGAAAAAGATCACTAGATCTCATAAAAAAACGCCCCAACAGATATTGTAGCAACTTTACTTTTCCTACCCCGAATTTCACCGTGGTGAATCTTTAAAGAACTCCGACTGTAGACCCAAGTGTACTTGCACAATGATCAGTCATCTGACCTAGTGTCTGACCTCAACGCATTAAAATGATTTGGCCAGAAAGGTTGTGTTTAAGCAAATATAAAACTCGATGAAAAGATTTTCAAGAAATCACAAAATGAAACTTGATTGATATCTTTAAGAAAATACTACCAAAACAGTAAATTTAGAAAGACATTTGTAATTAGATTTTAAATTAATAGTTGGGTGGTCGTAAGATTAGTAGGAATATATTTAGACATTGAATCTCAGTAGCAAGTTTAACACGAAAATACCGTTTACTGTATGGACATTTGACAGATGTTCATTGAATACACACTTTGTGAAATTTTGTAATGGACCAATGGGATGTCGTCGATTTAGCGTAAGACGTTTACTGTTCCGGAACACATTGTCTTATTACCTTTGAACCTTTTCATATGTTATTGAGTTAGAGTTAAGATAATGATTCTGCTAACATGTCGCTTTTATAGTAGAACGTAATATAAAGTGACCCTGTATGTGATGATTTTATGACACTGAAATAAAGTTGTCGTGAAAGAGAGGTGGTTTTTATGTCGTTTACATGAGCATTGCCAACTATAAGATATTTGTAGATTTCACAGATACTAAATTAAACATTTAAGATCAACAATAATAGTAAGCATGTTTCATATAATGTTTAAGTAATATATATATACCGGCCAAAGCAGTAGAAAGTAACAGTTGACTAGTCCGAAGTCGCAGTCAAATGATTGCAACCAGTTGAATTCTTTACCTTCTTTCAGTCTACGTGACGAAGCTAGGAGCAGAGCAACTGCTAGTTCAGCCACAGAATCAGACAACACATTTGGAGTGTGACCAACCTGGACGTTTCGCTTGTGACATGCTTCAACATCAATCAAGTCGTACCCAACTGCAAACGTTGCCACGACCTTGAGATTTGGACCTGGAGATTCAAATACATTAAGGTAAAATATATAGAAAATAACCCCCTCCGATCTTTGCTGCCGGACTTGATGCAACAACCCCTGGGTCTATCTCTAAGGACCTCCCACTGGTCATATTTAAACTATATATACTGAAACGAAAAAAAAAAAAAAAAACGCAACTTGGAAAATTGTTATTAATTTTGTATTAAATATACATAGCTGTATAAAAATCGCGGAAATAAAAGTGCACCCTGCCTATCACCCTAACCAATGTTCAAAATCAACCAGGTGTGACGAGAAACCTATGCACATCCGGCGCGGTAAAAACATCAAAAACCGTGCCTGTACAAACATATGCATTCTTTTTCATTCAAACCAGTATCAATTTATCACTAACATCTAGACAATCATCGCCAATACTTTTGCAAACAATAATTCCTTTTACAATTATGCCACGATTATCACAGGTTGATAGAGGACGTGTTATCGCGATGCTTATGGCAGGGAGCACGCAACTTCACGTCGCTCGACACTTCAGAGTTAACAAATCGACTATTAGTCGATGAGTTCTACGTCGTAACGCCACAGGAAGAGTCGATGACCGGCCAAGATCAGGACGTCCACGCGTAACGTCACGACGTCGGGTTGTTAGGCTAGCACACTTGCGTAACAGGAGGTTAACGGCTGCTGAAACGGCAAGGAATACGATTGGTAATCATAACCATCGGGTTCATCCCCAAACAGTGATCATATGCCCAGACGTTTTCCTATGAGACGTTGGAGGTCCATGCTCTTCACCGATGAATCTCGATTCACGTTATTTCGAGCAGATGGCCGTCAACGTGTGTACCGGCGTCGAGGCGAACGTTTTGCTGTGTTTTGGAGCATGACCGATTTGGGGGTGGATCAGTTATGGTTTGGGCGGGAATCTCCCATGGTTTGAAGACACCTTTGGTGATAGTCAATGGGAATTTAACGGCCGTACGCTATCGGGATGAGATCCTTAGGCCCCATGTTGTGCCGTTTGTTAGGCAGCATCATCTAACCTTGCAGCAAGATAACGCGAGACCACACGTTGCAAGAGTCTGTAGAGACTTTCTTGCGACGCAGAACATTGTTCCTATAGATTGGCCTCCATATAGCCCTGATTTGTCCCCAATCGAGCATTTGTGTGATGAACCAGACAGAAGAATTCGCAATCGCCGTAACCCCCCAAATACCCTCCCCCAGGTAGCAAATGCACTCGTCCAAGAATGGAATAACATTCCAATACGGACAGTCTATGCCCTGATGAACTCGATGCAACGAAGAATTAGAGATGCTGTAGCTGTTCGAGGAGGACATACACGATATTAGGGCACGGTTTCAAAACTGCTGCCATTTCAACTTGGATTCACGTAGGGTACTACCAATCATGACCTTCTAGCGAAGTGACCTTTTCTTAAAAATCTCCAAACATTTAGAGGATGTTACATCAATATTCAATATTAACTATTACATATGAAATTTTTATTTTATTAAACCTACAATTTGAAGTTGCGTTTCTGATTCGTTTCAGTATATATATACGTTAGCGGAATACATTTGTCGTGTTGATTTGATTTTTTTCAACTATATATATATATATATACACACATATATGCATGTATAGATGCCTTTAGTAATAACAAATAAATTTCACAAGTATGTTTAGTATTTATGTATCTATCTCCTAAACACACCAGTGACTCTTCAACATCATTCGCACACCTCGATTATTAACTGAGTACAAATGATTCCAAAAAGGACAGGTTTCATGTAATATTTCATGATCGTTATTACATTTGAAATATTTCACTCAATTGTGACATTATCTGGGTATACTTATACAACGATGCAGATAGCGTCGATCAAAAAGATGACACTTACCTTTCTGGGACTGCTAGTCATATTCACCATTTTCATTTTAAGGAAAATTCGTATAAACCTTTCATTTAGTTCTTTATATACTGAAAGGATATAGAAACGCAGGGTAATATTTATTCCGATATTTTGAAAACGCGTTCTCCAAATAAAGTGAAACTTTGTGGATTGAGTAATTAGGTCATATTACACCTTGTCATGTATCGAAATTTAGTCACGGTACAGTGCGCAGCGGAAATCATGGGCGTCCTTTAAGTTCAAAAACTGTAAGGAATCGATTACGAGAAGTTGGTTTAAGAGCACGTCGCCCTTACGTAGGTCCACAGCGCCTGGGTCGCTGCACATGCACATGAAGTTTTCTTCACGGACGAGTCTCGATTCTGTCTTTAGTACCTCTAAACCAATTGTCAGATGCAAAATACAGACTTCGGAAATTTTTAAGCTTTAATTTATGTGTAAGTATACAAAATTTCGTTTTAAATGAAGCCCGATATCATACTTAATTTCTGGTTTAAAGTTCACCCTGCGTTTCTTTATCCTTTCAGTATAATTGGAGCGATTTTCAATGTCAGTTTTTTATAAATATGTAATGATTCTAGCTATGCGTTAATAACTACAATGACACATAAAATGATAAACGCAGGATAGTAAATAATTGGTTATTCATATTAGATGTAATAAAAAGAAAGTTTTCCCTAGATCTTTGGCGTGCAAAACATTAAACCCGTGAGACCAGTATCATCATATATCTTATGAAAAGAACAAAAATCGTTTTATGGCATTTTGAAGTAAAGATATTGCAACTACTTACTTTGTAAAACTGTGTGTTTAAAGTTTCAGCTATTGGTGTTGAAAGTGCATTTTATGATCCTGTCCATGTACATATCAGATGTTTTAAAACATATGCGTTTCAATTAAATTGATATAAATATGCAAAATCACCGGATAAAAGCTCAATTGCGTGATGAACTCAAATATATCATGATTCCTCATAGACATGGTAGAATGATCACTTTCACAGCACAACCAGAACAAGCTGATGATGACCTCTGGTCCTGCCTACGCATATTTCTATCACCAAACACAAGAAGTTCATCGGACGTAAATAACTCACCAATCTCCTTGTGACTTTCAATACTGTTGATGTCTTTAAATGCAATATTTCCAAAAATCTAGAACTCTATTTTCCTACTTTGCAAGGGAACTGTCCCTCCCTATTATAATATGTATAGTAGTAGAACACGGAGGTATAATTATGGTATATGATCAGGTAACGAGGTCACAAAGATCTTAGATAACATCTTACCAGCCGCGTCAAGGACCTGTTCATCAATGGTGTTTATATAGTGACAGAGAATCCCATCCACACCTGCTACATTTTCTGTTAGCTCCTCGTGGCTTATGATACGACCATGGGGCCATATTGTGACGTCGCACTCACTCTTAAGTAGATCCATCCCGGGGGAAGGAATGTTTCTAGTAGCGAATACCCTGGGACGTGCTGACATTATTAACGTCTAACGTGATCTGTGTTTGGCAACAGGACCTGCTTAGAGAGCGGGGTACTACTTGTTTAAGATAACGTAAATATTCTATGTCATAAGTTCACAATCTGGAGGCCTAAGATGGGGTTTAATGTTTCTTTACAATATTTGGTACAAAGTCATGTCTTTTTGTTGTAATTTGATTATTTGTTTTATTTATATGTTATTTTTCTTATCTACGAGGAAAAGTACAATAGTTTCTCATCATTTTTTATCAAAGAAAATTAATATATTCAAGCTGCATCAAAATTAATGCTTTATGTAAAATACATGGTCGTCCCATCTGTTACGTGTAGATATAGATACTACCCTCTTGTATCTAGGTCAGCATATTATGCATACACACAGAAAGGTCCAAGGCACAGAAGTCATTAATTCAATTCTGTATATTCTATCTATACGTACTTGAATAGAGTAAACACTGCAATAACTACCATACATATTTTCATAGCATTGCTATTCAACAGGTGATTTATAAGACAAGCAGTGCATCCAAATGACAAACGAATAAGAGATCATGGCAGCATCTATTGAGGAGTTTATCATTAAAAAGAAGAAGCATATTCAATCATTAGAAGAAACTTGGTTGAATAGTTGGAAAAATATGACCACAAATAACAACTTAAGAACTATCATATTGGATTCAATTAAAAAAAGCAACATTATATGGACATTTTAATTTAGAAGACAAATTTATCAAAATATTGAAATTAGCCCCCACCAACTTAAACGATTACATTAGCAAAGTCAATAGAGCTGTCAATTTAAATTATCTGTACAAAAATCACTCACCATAATACAGACTGTTTTTTCACAGAAGTAGTAAAGATCGACATGTGATTACATACATTGTGATAAAGCCTAGCGATAAAGAATGATAAATGCATGAATTATTGATATTATTCAGTATGGGGCAAATATAACATAACATATATTCTACGAATTTAGAATACACACTTGCATTTAGAACCAGGTAAATCTCCTAATAATATGTAAAACGATCACCATATTTACGGCACAAAAGAAGATGACTCCTATGGATAAGGTAAGGGCAACTGAATTTCTTTTATAGAAATACCTGCTCCATAGTATTATCTTCTCTGTTTTGTCTCCAGATACAAAGATTCAAGCGTGTATTCTTGCTACAATGGAAAAGAATGAATAACTCAGTTAAAAAGGAGTTCGATATCATGTCTAGTGTTATATATGAACTCATAAAACGTAGACAACGCAAATTGCGATACATACAGCAGGTCTGTTTATCTTACGCGGATCATATAGTGAGATACACTAAATGTTTGGATCGTATCTGATGAGCTGAATACTTTTAATCACCCAGATATTTACAAAAATATAGCCTGGTTATAAATAATAATTATGTATTTTTCATGTATTTAAGTCAAAAAATTAACACAATCAACCCAATACGTTCCTAATTACAAATGTTATGATTAAACAACATCAAATTCAGATACAAAGGCGATGCTTCTTTTGTTTTACATTGCAGTATTATTATCTAACGAATTACTATGTTGTATGTGGTGTATTTTGCTCAGTACCTGTGATGTTATGTGTGGGACAGGACTTAAAAAAAGCTCTGTCTGATGCCCAATCACTTTGTCATATATGTATAAATACGACAAGAAAATGCCTGCACGTCTAATTGATGAACTTAACGATACATTAAAGCGCTTATAAAAATGAAGATTCAACTAGAAAAAGAAACACCATATAAAGATATCATTATCAATGTAGAAAATCAAATTGCAAATAAAAACCGAGTTAAATGTCAACCTAATTAAAAGATATAAATAACAAAATTTGATAGCTCTGGATGGCTCTTACAACCAGAACTTAGTTGTGTATAATTTAATATCACATCGGCTTTATTTCATCTATAGAAATATTAGACCATATCCCATCTATATTCAGCTTAGAGCAAATCAAAGTAAGTTATCTTGGTCAAACGGAAATGAACTGGTTACTCTGCAGTTTCTCGAGTTTAAGATTTCGGCCAGTTGTATATGGACTCACTAAACATAGGCAAATTGAGATAAACAATCCTCGAAAAAAACCGTTCTGTTTATATAACACAGGACATAGATAGATGAAATAGGACTTAATTCAAATTATCAAATCCATTAGAAATCCATTACCCAATTCTGAAACTAATTGCGGCGCCAAAATCTAGATTCCAAATAAGTTTCCTCAACATACATACACCGAGATAAGACTACTCTAGCGATAAAAGATTCTTCATTTTAACGTCATCTTAGGTAGAATATTTATCTTTACTAGCAGCATAGTTAAATCAAGTAAATAAAATGGTTAGATATTTTAGACCTGTCACACACGACATACAAGACCAATACCCTACCTCTAAACTTCTCTTCCCATACCATCTATCACTTATTCAAACCTCTTGGTAAACCAAATTTACATAGTAGTATAAATGATATAAAAGAAAAATCGAATTCTCTCTAATTTATTCATTATTCCGTCCTAAAACATAATCCAGTCACCTTATTCTTGCCTATCCAGTTTTCCTCAACATCGTTAAATAGCTTGCCTTTGCGTATACTCTTCCAAATTAGCAAGTTCCATAAATCACACTCAAACGTCTGAATAGTGTACAGATATATGGAGTCCAATTTAAATGGATTATCAGAAGGCATTAGCCAAGAGAGGTCAAGTTATTCAGTTGAATGGTTGAAAATGATTAAAGATGGGACCAAAATGAACAAGCGGTAATCATAACTGCACTGGCACCAAACCAACCACTAACGATAGTCTAAAAGACTGTCTACCTCCGCATGAAGATCACTGAAGAAGTGCATTTGTGAAAACGTCGATCTAGTCGTTAAAAGAATAGTATTAGGGTAACAATTAATATATATTAAGGTTTTTGTATTCGGACGTTTAAGTTATGTGATATTCAATGAAAACCCTACAATCATCATACAATTCGTTCGTCCTTCTTCGACCATAGAATTACTTGTCAATAGTGATACGGTTCTAAATATTGAAACCGAGAAGGCAATTGAGAAAAATCTAAATTGATCAAAAGAAATGTCGAATTGTAGATGTAGGTTTAAATATATAATGGTGTTTCACATTTCATATTACTGTCACTATTACAGTATATATATAATTCTTAACCCTACCGTCAATGAACTTTAACTCTACATCTCCATATGAAGAGCATATAATCACCCCACTATCAAACTGGCCTGACAACACACCTGTCGAATTTAGTGGTAAAATCTTCTAATAGACTACCGATATACATGGAAAAGGTGTGTTTTTCTCTTGGTTCACTGGTTTGATATCGTTCCCTTCTTTTGACTGACTTGTTTTTGCTTGTGTTCCCCGCTTAGCTGACTTGGTTTTGCTTGTGTTCCCCGCTTAGCTGACTTGATTTTGTTTTCTTATGAGACGTAGTTTATCCGGAATGAACATCTACTGATTACTGAGTTATCCGCAATCCGCTCTGACAATTAAAACAAATGAAATACTATTGTGGAGAATACCAATAAAGGGGCTCTTAGATATATATATATATATATATTCTCGTGAAAGTCACGTCAGGTTGACACCATGTAAATACATCATTTAGGTTGACATTAATAACCATTAATTGTTTTTACATCAAATTGAATCATTGAATCAAAGCAAAAAGTCAGAAACAATACAAAATCATTGCTTTTTCGAAAAATATGTGATTTTTAGATATTTATATCACTGAAAAATCACTTAGGGGGACATTTTGTTGTCGCCCCAAATTTTGTGCCAGTTTGATAATCAGGGAACAAGATTTAAGATGACTTTTTGTGAGAGGTCCTATGCGGGATAAATATTTTTAGATCTCATCATTTCCATTGTGTCACATGTTTATGGGCATACCTGAAGCTAATCATATGCTCCTCAGTTGAGGTTAACAGTGACTAGTCAACCCCAGGAAGTATGCAATGACTAGTACCAATTTGGATCCCATATCAATAGTTGTGCTACCCTTTGCCAACCTCTGTCATAAAAATATATTTCTTAACGATTTACCATGAAAGTGTTATTGTCAGTCATTTCCATGCTTTACGTTTCCTGTATGGCACATAGCTGCAGACAAATGTACATTGGACTATATGACGCTTTAACAACATAATTCAGGTAACGCTTTCTACTTTTCAGCGGAAGTACAAACATAATGCGGGCTTAACATACATCACATTTGATGTTATATTCTTGGGCTGTGTGTTTATTACACAATCTAAGTAAGGCAAGTCTAGATCTATTAAATTTTAAACACTTTTTGAAGTAACACGTCAACAGTGGACTGATAGCACATTGTGACTCAGGTTTTACAGTTTACAGACTGTTTTTATCGTAGCAGAGCACGCGCTTACAAAACAATGTTTCTGCATGCATATTTCAATTAAATGAGTATTAAACATGAACAGCATTACGGTCAGTCTCACAGTGCATTACTGATATGTAACCATATACGACAAAGCTGACAAAGCATGAACACAGATTACACTGTATTTCATTGATCTTGTACACGATATTGTGTGCTTGGTCTGCAGTATTGTGCCATGCAGTATATTAGTTAAGAACTCATTGCTTTAATAGGAATTATACTCGTTTTCAAGTTTATATTATTAGAATGGTAACTACATTGGTAGTAAAAAGAACACTGGCGGCGGTTCGTGAAATTCTCATATATAATTTCGAGTTATCGCTCCGTAGAAATGAAATTATGACTGGTACAATATGACGATGATACATGTGCTGAATGTTTCTAATGCATGTGCAGTGTGATAGAATTTCGTCTTGGGCCTATGCTCAAACTTACACTTAATATACGGCAATGTTTTCCTTACCTATTTATCTATTACCTTCTACCCTTTCCAAGAAGAATATAGGAAATTAACAGTTTCAAATCAACCATAGTCAGGTGCGAAATATCC